GTCCTGTTATGTCATTTAATGACACTAAACTAACAAATAAATCACACATGTGCTATTAAGACAAAACCCAGAAATTTGGGACAGAAAGGAAGAAGGAGAAGGTGTTACTAGATGAGGGACTGCTAGCCAAACTCGCTTTTTCTAGTTCTCACATTTCTACCACTGACCCTAAAAAGTCTAAATCAGGATTACGTTTATGGTTGCTCTCAGGCCCTCAAAAACTCATATGATATCAGAGCCCCAGTGTCTCTTATACCCTTTAAAACACCAACCCGCAGAGTTAATATGCAGAGTGGGAAGAGCCCAGGCTCTGTAATTATACCCGGGTTTAAATACCAGCTGCATACTCTAATAGTGTATCCCGAGCACCCTTCTGCTTTCTTCATCTGAGCACCTTCTTCACTTTTCTGCACCCATGTGTACTACGAGGATTATGGTGCAGTCCTTGCTGGCTTTAGAAGATTCATGACAAAATGCATGTAAAGTGCCTTATTGCAACTATCACTGATCGAAAAGATGCCCAAACTTTTCACCTCATGATTGTCAATAAAAGAATTAAAACTTAAATGCAGGCCTGATTTCCCACCCCTCACCCCACTTCTCCGCTGCCCTAACTCCCACTATTCCTTCTTTGGACTGAGGAGGATGACTTTGTCGGCCTCCCTCTGCGTGGCTTCCCAACACCTGGTCTTTGTTAGTCACGGTTTATGACACTGTACTGTAACTGTTTACCTCCCTCCAATCCACACAGACCTGGACTGGCTCTAGCAGCCTGCCGGCCATTTTGCCTGACACAAAGCTGACACTCAAATGTTTGTTGAACATGCAACTTCTGAAACTCCCTAATTCTGGCTAGGTTTGACTCTATTACCTTTATGAGAGGGGACGTGGAAGCTGGACTGCCAAGTTCATGGACTGTGTGACTGCTTCTCCAGAGGGATGAAGATTTGTCTCTAACACTGCAGACTTACATGTTATATGTTATATGGTAACTTAGTTTGACTCAATAACAGTCTGTTTAGAAATACTTATAATGGTGTGCCTACTTCTACCATCAACAAAAAAGACAAAGTATTACTTGCCAAAGTAATAATGTGCTTTTAATATACCTACATCAATTAAAAATAATTGGAAATCTCCATTTTTTTAGAAGACCAAACTTATAAAGTGCCAAATTTGCATTAGTTTTCAACTTTTTTATAACTTGCGAGTGACATAAATTGGATGAGTCATAGAAACACATCTAAGATATATTTCTTTCTAAAAATGTGTTTATGGCATGCTTCTTTCCATGCAATATGATGTGTATTATTGAAATTCAAGGTTATCTCTCAATTTAACATGCTCCCATATTCACAAAAGCTCCAAAATTATTTGTTTTGTAAATAGCATTCCTTCCTATCCTAAAACTGATGTTTGCACATGTAGCATACAAAGGAGAAAAAACAATTAAATAAATTAGGAAAAGTCCTATTTCTTCAACTCAACTAGAAACGATTTGAGGACAGAGGCTTTCTTTTATGTACATTCCAATATCTAGCATAGTCCCTATTGTGGGTTGAATTGCGTCCCCCCAAAAAGATCTGTTGACATCCTAACCCCCAGAACCTCAGAACGTGACGTTATTTGGAAATTGGGTCTTTGCAGCTGTAATTAGTTAAGATGAGGTCATACTAGAGTAGAGTGGGCCCTTAATCCAACATGACTGGTGTCCTTATGAGAAAACAACCATGTAAAGATACAGAGACAGAGAGAATGCTATGTGAAGACCAAGTCAGATATTGGAATAGAGCATCTACAAGCCAAGGACTGCCACTGTCACCAGAAGCTAGGAGACAGGCGTGGAACAGATTCTCCCTCAAAGCCCTCACAAGGAATCAACACTGTTGACATCCTGATTTCAGCCTTCTAGCTTCCAGAACTATGAGATAATAAATTTCGGTTGTTTTAAGCCACCCAGTTTGTGGTCCTTTGTTACAAGAGCCCTAGGAAACGGGCACAGTGCCAAACATGCAAACGTAGTTTAATAATACTGTTCATATTGAATTGAATTGCTGTTTCTTCACAGAGAGAAAAAAGTAGGCACAACACATCTATTCTATTTTTAACATTTCTTTTGGAAATCAGACGATGTGTATTAAGAACCATAAAAATGACCATACTTGTTGACAAAATAATTCTACCTCTGAAACACTATCATAAAGACACAAACCCCAATTTGTTAAATGATATATCTGCAAAGATAAGTATTACTGTAACTTAGGTTGTTCATAATTTGTTGCCAATATACCTATCCAACAAGAGGATTAGCTAAGTAAATCACATTATGATGACTAGACTATAATGCAAACAACAGGAGTTTGGGAAATTATATAAGATGAAAAACGCTTACTATGTGTTATATGGAAAACAGAATACTAAAATTCTATATGAAGTATGATGTACAAAAAAATGCAGAGAAAAAAAGGAGAGAGACAAAGGTAAATGGCAAAATACCCATTGTGGTAGAGTTATGCTCAGTGGGTCAGAACTCTCTTCTTGGCTCCCTAATCTCACCATTTTGGTACCTCCTTCCAGTCTTTTCTCCTCACCTCAAATCTCCCCAAGCACAACCAACTCTTTCTCGACAATGCCTCTCAGGATTAGTCCAGGCCCATACCACCTTATACACAGGTTTTGGGAAAAGATTCCTATTTGGCCCGTCTACAGTCTCATGCAACTATCATATGTGCTAGCAAAATAAGACAGTCATTCCACAGCTAAATGTATGTACTGTGGTGGTCTCTTCATTTATGTTTTATGTACTTTTATGTATGTGTTATATTTTTCAATAAAAATGGGTTTTTTGGTAACTTTCTGTGGTTTCACATCTGGTTTTGCTAAGATGAGGTGAGGATTCATGATTCTCTGCTGACGTGGTCCTACTTCATTACACTTCTTTTTTTTTCTTTTTTTTGTGAGGGAGATCAGCCCTGAGTTAACGTCCGTTCTAATCCTCCTCTTTTTGCTGAGGAAGACCGGCTCTGAGCTAACATCTATTGCCAATCCTCCTCCTTTTTTTCTTCCCCAAAGCCCCAGTAGATAGTTGTATGTCATAGTTGCACATCCTTCTAGTTGCTGTATGTGGGACGCGGCCTCAGCATGGCCGGAGAAGTGGTGTGTCGGTGCTCGCCCAGGATCCGAACCAGGGCCGCCAGCAGCCGAGCACGCGCACTTAACCACTAAGCCACGGGCCGGCCCGTACACTTCTAAATATAACGTTTGGCCCGGATAACTGGGTTCCTACCTGCAGCCATGGGGTCGGCAAAGGCTTTTCTCCCCTTCTTCTCCAATGCCTGCCGGCTCCCCATGTCTACCAAGGCAAACTCCTTAACAGCCTGTAAAACCTGGCTTAAAACTCTCAAAAAGTTTGGGTCAGCCCCTGTTGCCTAGTTGGTTAAGTTCAGCAACCCCCACTTCAGCAGCCTGGGTTCGGATCCCAAGGGCAGACCTATACCGCTCTCTTAGCAGCCATGCTGTGCTGGCAGCCCACATACTAAAAAATAGAGGAAGACTCGTGTGGATTTTTAGCTCAGGGTGAATCTTCCTCATCAAAAAAAAGGAAACTGTCAAAAAGTTTTCTACCATCATCAAACCTACCCCATCCGTGCTACCTTAATTCATTTTGCATCATATTCTGCAAACATTATCAAGGAACTGCTAGTTGTAAGGCCTGAAGATTTAATGTCCTAAGTTGTTTACAATCTTTTTGTGGACACTGAATGTTTATGAAAGAAGACAGCCAAGAGTAGAAAATGACATATGATAAATGATAAGTGAGTGTTCAAGGGCGGGGAAGAGCGAGACTGGTGAAGAGAGGGTAGGGAGGGGGTGAGACTGATGAAGGCTAGAAGGAGGAGACAAGGTAAAAGTTGAATAGAAGAGATTTCATGATGGGGAGGGGGTGATGTGAGACTGACAGCTGAGTTTTGCACCCGGGTGACTAGGACAATGGTGATGGAAATGATGGCAATAGAAATGCTTTGGGGCAAAGCAGAGCAAGTCCAAATGAAATATTACAAAGTGCACTGACAGATGCTACACTAAAAGTGAAAAAGATACATGAAAAGCACAAAATCTTAAGGTGGATAAGTAGAGGTGATAGCTGAAGTAACAAAGTTCTATAAAATCGTTAAAAAAAAACAAACAACCTAAAGTAGTACAAAGCCACATCAGAAGGAAAAGAGGGACCTGGGAATGAGAACCTGGTTAATGATGCTTGAAACAGCACAGGACTTCAGGAAAATAAGGAGGAAGACTGGAACTCCAGGTGAGGCAGTATGCACAGTGATGAACAGCCCCAGGGCTGGATCAGAGCCCCTGCTTGGAACCCCCTCCTGCTCCTTATTACGAGTGTGCCTTTGGGCAAGTTACTGTGTCTGAGTTTCCTCATCGGTAAAATGAGGATGATATCATCTACGTCACAGGATCGCTGCGAGGATTGAGAGTTACTACAAGTTCTTAGAACAGTGCCTGACACAGAGGCGCTGGATAAATTTCTACCATTGGGGGAAAAATAATTTTTTAGTCCTCGGTGACCTTGGGGAGAACAATTTCTGGCCAGTAGTAGGAGCAGTAACTACAAAGTAAGGGAATTAATAAGCAAGTGAGCGGTAGGAAGGCGGAGGCAGCCACAAAGTATGGATGACTCGGTCACAGCAGTGAAACAGTAAAAGCGAGCAGTGAAATAAAGGGTAACCTGCGAGTCTAGGGTTAAGTGAAAATGCTTTTCAAGGGTAGATCTCAGCAAGAGGGAAACGGCTTGGCTCGCCAAAACTATTCTTCAGTCAGTGTGGGACTTGTTTCTCCCACCACACAGGGAGCTGATCAGGGGTTGAGACCCGATCCTTCCTGTCCCAGCTCCCCAGGGAGCTCGAGAGAGCTCTGTCCCCGCATCCGGTAAGTTTGAAGCAGCGCTGACTGATTAGGTGGGAAAGGCCCATTTCCTAACTAACCGATACCATGGAGCAGAAAACAACAGGCTTCCCCCTTTCCATCTCCGGCACGACCTGCTCTACGGCTCTGTACTCATCACTCGCCTCCTCCTCAGCCAGCAGTAGCCGCCGGGACAGGATGCAGCTCCGGGAGCCAAGGAGGCAGCGCCCGGCTGCAGAAGCAGCGCCCCAAGTTCATTCCAGCCTCCAGGACACAAAAGCGCCCCAGAGGAGAAGGAAGCTAAGAGAAAGGGGCTCGGGAATTCTGAGGTGGCTAGCGCGGCCAGATCCCCGAGCTGGGAAAGTGACCTCGACAGCCAAGGTCGAGCAGCTCCTTCACTCCCCCAGTCCCACCCGCGAGCACCTTTGCCCTCCGCCAGGAACAGCCGGGCCTGCGCGCGCGGAAGCGCTCGGAAAGGCTCAACGCCCCGCGGCGGCCGGGGACCACCGTCCCTTTGGGATGCTGGGGGCGGCGGGGGGTTCCCGGGGGGGCGCAGGTGAGCGCGGCGGCCCCGCCCTCCAGCGGGAAGGGCCTTCGCCCCCCGCACCGGCAGGCCGTGGTGGGATAACTTCCGAAGCGCCCCCCCTAGAGCGCCCGGAGGGCCTGGCCAGGCCCCCCGAGTCTCCCGCACGCGGAGCCCACTCCCCCCGCGCCGCGCCCAAGTTCCTCCATCCGGCCGCTCCCGAACCCCTGCTCCCGGGGTCGCTCTCCCTGCCCCCATCTCTTCTCCTCCGCGACCCCGAAAAGTTTGGCCCCGGCCCCCGGGCTGGGAGCCTCGCACTCACCCCGCGGGGAGCAGAGCCGAAGCGCCCCACGCGCGGAGCCGAGGGCGGCGGCGGGCTGTGGCGCGAGCGCGGAGCTGCTCACAGCGGCCCCTGCTGCCCCGGCCGCAGACCGAGCTGAAAAAGGGGAGGCGGCGGCCGGGGTGTCACCTGCCCGCTCCCCACCCCACCGCGTGACGCCGCTCAGCACCGCCCCCTGCCCGCCGCCCCCACCGTCGCCAGGTACCCGCGAGGGGCGGGGGGAGGAGCCGGCAGGGGCGCGCGGCCTGGGTGGCCCACCTCCGCCCGGCCCCCACGCGCACCGCGTGGCCTGGGAGAGGGGACTCCCGGCCGCTGTGGGATGTCGGTTCTGGCCGGTGGACTCATTACATTTCATTCTGAGCACAAATGCCATCCCCCGAGGTCCTCCCGAGTGACAGAAATAGGGTGAAAATTGTCGTCATGCATGACTCAGGAGTGACTTGTAGAAAAATCTGAAATGAGAAAAAGCTGGCCGAGGGTGGTGGAGAGGGAGACAAAAGGTAATCCCTGCTCCTGAGAAGACTGTTCAGAGGGTTAATTCGCATCTAAAATGGAGGCCAGACCCAACCACGGAGAGAAGCCCAATTTGGGTCAGCTCCATCCCCTGCTTATTAAGAAACTGGAGAATAGCTGCAAATATTGAGGAGTGGAGGGGCTTTTGGAGTACTCAAGAGCATACTGTATAAAATCTAAGTTAACTTTTTTCCTGGTTAGTAGCAGCAACTGCTGTGGGGAACAAAGCCTGGCATACTGATTTCTCCTCTCTACTATTGGATTGGGGAGTAAGTTGGATGAGGATGAATGTTAAACGTGTGTATGCATGCTCCATTATTTAGCTTACCTGGCCTTTTGTCTGGTTAGGATCCTCTTAACCGCTGTTACCTTTTGGAACATCAATTGATGTTCAACATCCAGCATCAATAGCTGGAAGGGAAAATAGGAGTCCAAAGAGGTTACTTCCTTAGGGAGCAAAACCAAGAGCTTGAATTGAGTTGTCTCCTAGGAACCTGAAAAATATCCTGAGGGGTTGCAGTCCCGACCGAGCACCCCACAAACGTGGCCTGTGGGTTTGTGCTGTGAGATTTACGCATGGAGTCACCACAAAAGGTCGAGACTACCAGGGAGGGTGGGTAGGAAGAAGAACACTCAGTGGGCCAGAAGCACTACCTAATCCTACTGCATTGAACAAGGGGTTTTAAAGGTTTTGTGTAAAACTTTGAGAGCCCACATAGTAGCCATTGAAAGGAAAGCAAAAAGCATGAAAGTTCAAATTTAAAAGAATCTTGAAGTCAAGGAAACTAAAGATTTCTCCTTCCTTTCATATAAACTTTGCTTTCATAATAAAACAGACCGTTTAGTAGCTTTGGGAAATCCTTTGGGAATTGGAGACCATTGCTTAATGATATTTGCCTTTGAGTCTGTCACTATCTACCTATTTATATATATTCATGAAATTTCAAATATGCAGAAAGACAAATAGATTCATTCATTTAGCAAATATTTATTGAGGGCTGCTGTGTTCCAGGCCCTGAGGATTCAACAGACAACAAAACAGACCCCCCAAAATCCTCTGTTCTTGTGGAGTGTATATTCATTTTAGTTGGGGATGACAGACCATAGATGAATAAACACGTAAAATTTGTAGTGTTCATGTTGTGTAAGTGCTGTGAAGAAAAATAAAGAAGGGAAAGGTGTTTGGAGGTGGGGAGTTGCCGTGTTAACGTAGTTAGGGAAGATCTCAATAGAAGAGGGCATGTGAGCCAAAATTTTAAAGAGGTGAGGTAGCATTCTAGTCAGTGGGAACAGCAAGGCCAAAGGCTGTGGGGCATGAGCGTGCCTGGGATGTTCATTTTCATAGAATAGCAAGGAGGCCAGAGTGGTTGAGTTGGAGTGAGTGAGGACATTAATAATAAATGAGGCCAAGGAGTTAAGGGAAGCATTTTGAGTAGAGAAGTGATATCATCTGACTGAAATTTTAAACAGGAATACCCTGGCAGCTTTTTTGAGAGTTGGGTGGGTGGGCGCGGGGGAAGAGAAAGGCAGAAGCAAGGAGATGATTAGGAGTCTCTTAGAAAATCCAGGTGAGGGCCGGCTCCGTGGCTTAGCGGTTAAGTGCGTGCGCTCTGATGCTGGCGGCCCGGGTTCGGATCCCGGGCACGCCCCAAGGCACCACTTCTCCGTCCAACGTGAGGCCGAGACCCACGTACAGCAACTAGAAGGATGTGAACCTATGACATACAACTATCTACTGGGGCTTTGGGGGGAAAAAAAATGAATAAATAAAATCTTTAAAAAAAAAAAAAAAGAAAATCCAGGTGAGAGATAAAGTGGCTTGGACCAGGTTGGTAGTACGAAAGGAGGTCAGATTTTAAAAATATGTTCTGAAGGTAATATCAACAGGATGTCCCGAGAATCTCGTGTGGGACCTGAGAGAACAAAAAGGTCAAGAACTCCAAAGTATTTGCCTCGATCAATTGGAAGGAGGGAGTTGCATTGACTAAGAAGAGGAAGACTGGGAGAGAGGAAAGTTGGGAGGGGGTTAGTCAAGAATTGTTCAGGAGACTGATTTAATTTAAGATGCCTATTAGTTATCCAAGTAAGAATGTCGAGTAGGCAGTTGGTTATACCAGCCTGGAGTTCAAGAGAGAGGTCTGGGCTGGCAATATAAATTTGGGAGAAGTCAGCTTCCACATGATATTTACTGGCCTGAGAATAGCCAAGAGCACCAAGAGTGAGACTAGAGAAGAGGTTTCAGAACTGAGGTGTGGGGCACTCCAGTATTAAGTGGTGAGGGAATGGGGAAGAACCGGTAAACAGAACTGAGAAGGAACAGTCCTGAGGTTGGAGTAAAATCAGGAGAGTGATGTTTCGTGGAAGGCAAGTGTGTTGGTCAGTTAATACTGCAATAACACATCACTCCAAAGTTCAGTAGCTCATAGCAATATACTTGTTCCCTCGCCCACAGTCAGCAAGTTGGTTGCACTTCAGCTGACCTAGGCTGTGCTCAGCTGAGTGGTTCTGCTTTAGGTTGCAGATCAAGCTTAAGCCTATTGCACGTGTGTTTTTTCTGGAGCCCAGACTGATGAGGCAGCAGCCACCTGGAGAAGATCTTCTCATGGAAGATAACTGGGGTGGAAGAGCCAATCCAAACCCCACAAGATTTGGGGGCCTCTGCTCGCATCGTTGAAGCACATGTAAGGCTTCTGCTCACGTGTAGCTGGCTAATATTCCCTTGGCTAAAGTATGTCAATAGACAAATCCAACATCAGGTGAGTAGGGAAGGATATTCAACCCACAGTGGAAGGGTGAGGAGAATGAGTATTTGCTGAACAATAATCCAAACTTTTATCACAGCAAGGGAAGAAAGTGTTTCAAGGTGAAGTGATCACCTGTGTCAAATGCCAGAAATTGACTGTTGATTTAGCAATATGGAAGTCATTGGTTCACCATGACAAGAACAAGCTTGGTGGAATGGGAGTGAAAACCTGAATGGAGTGAGTTTCAAGAGAAAGGAAGAGAGAAATTGGAGAAAACAAGTTTAGATAATTCTATCAAGGATGTTTGTGGTAAAGAAGAGTAAAGAAATGAGGTAATGGTAGGAAGGGGAATTGGGTCTGAAAACGAGCATGAAGTTAAAAAATCTTCCCTAGAGCAAAAAACTTTGAGATAAGCTTTGCTAACTGCACCTGTGTGTACTTAGTGTAATCGACTGTTGTTTAAAACTAACCAGGTCTTTCTGTCCCTTCTTAGTATATGAGTGAGCTGTCTTTCCCAGCAAGTCAAGGTCCAGACATCGAGATTTAGCCTCAGAAGGGCAAACGCAAGCTGAAGATGAAAACTAACCAGAAAAGTCCAGACAGTCAAGGAAAAAGAAATTCAGTCTTCAAGACCAAATGTAGGCTGGTGGGAAGGTGCCAACCAGGATGGCCAGATGCTCTCACTCCACTATCTAAAACCCCAGCACATGTTCTCCTTCCCCTACCTAAAACTCCAGCACATGCTCTCCCTCCCCTACCTAAATCCCCAGCACATGCTCTCCCTCCCCTACCTCAAACCCTAGCACATCATGCTCTCCCTCCCCTACCTCAAGCCCCAGATAAAAACCCCCACCTTTTCCCCTTCATGGAGGTAGATCTGAGTTCTAACTCCCATCTCCTCATCTGGCTGCCTTTTGATAGTAAACCTCTTTCCTTGCCACAAGCCTGATGTTTCAGTTGTTGGCCCTACTGTGTGGCAGGTAAAAGAATTTGTGTTTGGTTTCAGTAACAATTTGGGGAGCCAGCGTGGAGGCTCTTTGCCCATGGCTCTGCAGCCCTGAGCT